TTTTTAAATATTAAAATCAATTTATTATAAATATAATATTTATTGGATGGCCCACCCTTAGCATTTGAAAACTGTGTATCTGTCATGTGTAATCCAACAGCAAGAGGCCCCATTTTTGGACAAAAACAGAAAAGTAGACATTTCAATATTAATTAGCCGCAACAAGTTTTGTTGAGTGTTTATCAAGACAAAACATTTTGGCTGTATAATGCGAATCGAAGGTGTTGTTTGGTACATCGACGGATGGACCTAATTCTTGCATAATTAACTGGACTTGGCTTGTCACCAACTTTTTTAGCACTGTGATAATACGTTGATCTAGAAGGTGCTAATGTGAAGTCATATATGTACCAAAAAAGTCATAATAATAGTCAAAAAAGTAAAAAAAAATGAAACTCATACAGTGTGAGAGCGATTGATTAATAACAATTCTTGAAAACATTTTTTTATAGTGGTCCGCACGTATAATTAATCAGCTAAATACAGTGGCGGAGCGAGGGGAGCGCCCTTAAATTTAAAAATTTTATAAATTGGTATATAAAAAATTATTTAACTTCTTTTAAATTTTGAAAATTTTAGTATTTTACCTCTTGAAAAAAATTTCTGCCTCCGTCCCTGGCTAAATACATTAGATTCATGTATTTTATTCAGTAAAAAGAAAAAAAATAAAAATTATTCGTAACTATAAATGGTCCCAACTACAAGAATCATGCAAATCTTTATTTAAAATTGGTGGGTATGACCATTTAAAATTATTAGAATTTGAATGGTGATGAATAAATTCAAACTTTTATTTTTATTTTCAACATGTTCACATCACTTCTTATCCTTAAAATCAATCTTAGTAAATTCATTTTTGCATATTTATTGAAAGTAAAACTTTATTTTGTAGTGAGATTTTTGATACAATTTTTTTTGGGTCAAAATTAAGAGATTTAAATTAACTTCTAGCACATAAAATAAATTACATGAAAAATTGAAAACCTTCTGGAATTAGTACATCCTAAATTGATATAATAAATAATCAAGCTTAGAAAAACCGAGATTGTAGGAGAATTAAGAGATACAAGTTTTTAACATAGATTTCTCTAGCTAAAGTTTGATTAATTTGAATAATTCGTAGAAGGGAAATATTATTGGAATAACTATTTTGTCTTATCTTTTTGTACAATCTAACGTATCATTAAAATGATATTTTGATTCATGAGAAACCCAAGATATTCAATGCATACACTCATTTAATGACATATAAAAGTTGTACAAAAAAAAATGAGATAAAAAGGTTGTCCTAATAACACCACTCTTCGTAGAATATATATTTTTGGTCATACTAAAAGGTCAGAATCAAAAAACGAGAATTGATGGGGAAAAAAGAGAATGAAAAGAAGAAAATGGAAAGAAAGAACAAGAAAACTCAATAAATTATGATTTAGTTAGTAAGAGATTTTGTTTTTCATTTTTATTTTATTTTATTGACAAATATTCAACTTCTTAGGAGATTAATACAAGATAATTTTTTTATCAATTCTTTACTTTCATTATGAACCACTTATCTTCAACTAAATTGAGAGAAAATTAATGTCAAGATGCATACAAACTAATTTAAAAATGCTTTGCTAAATTGAAGAAGAAAAAGAACGAGAATCACATGCTTCTAAATGGCTAAATTTAAAATGACAGGAATAGTGCTACTATCGCCGCCGAAGGTGCCTCATGCCGACAGAAGGCCGAGAGGACGTGGCAATGCCAAATTTGATTCCTAGTTCTAAGAAAGGGCGTAACTAATTCAAAAGCCCTCAAGTTTATAAGATCATAACTTTTAAGTCTCTATATTTAAAAAACATCATTTAAGTCCTCAAAATCAAACAAGATTATTTTAATTTAGGGCATTAGGATTTAGATTTTTTAGGGTTTAGTGATTGTAAGTTAGGATTCATATTATATTTTTAAGATTCAAGATTTAAGGTTTAAGGTGTTATTATTTAAATTTTTTGGGATTAGATTTTTTATAACTCAATGTTTAAGATGCTAAAGTTTAGATTTTTTAGAATTTAATTTTTAGGGTGTTAGGATTTAGATTTTTTTTGGACTAAATATTTAGGGTGTTAATTAGGGTTTAAAATTTAAATTTAGTATTTTAAGTGTTAAGGTTTATTGTAATTTTAAGATTTAGCATTTAGAGTTTATATTACAAAACCAACTGCCAGCAAAAATGAGGGGAGGGGAACCCTAGCTGTTGCTCCACTCCTCCATCTTGTTCCCGTTTTTTCTTCATCATTTTCTTTGATTCTTTGTTTCTCTCTTATTTTTTATGATTTGTTTTACTTTTTTATGTATTCTTGCAAGGGTTCTTGCCTCCATTAAGTCTGGTTTATGTAGGAGTTCATCCCTCAAGTTATAGTTTGTGTGGATTTTTTTTTTTTTTGTCAATTTATGTTCTTTTTACTGAAAATTTAGAGCAGGGAAAGTGGTTGGTGATGAGTGCTGCATTGGCTTGGAATATTTTTAGCATTGGTCTATTTTAACGATTACCTTTTTTTCTTTTGGTTATCATGGATTATACTGATTTATGGCTTTACTGTTAGATCAAGATCTAAATTTGACTATAATATCTATATAACCATTAAATTGCTCTATTATTATATGTTTAACCAAATGTTTTACATTTTTAAGATTAGATATTATAGCGCATTTGTAATGTTACATTATATGAGTTAACTTGTAATTGTTACAATTTTCTATTATTACGATTCTCCAAAAAAATTTAATAATTAGAGTTCTTCATATAGCATTTATTATTCTAGTATTATGAGCTCAAATAAAATTTAAAAATCAATTAAAATTAAAAAATAAAATTAAAAACTAATTTATAAGAATTAAAAAAATTATAATAACTTTTTTTTTTTTTAAATGAAAGAGTTACAGACTTACACGGACCATCGGTCCCTATTGGCTAGGGGAACTTTGGTCCTGTGGTAGCAGTGTAGCACCCTTTACAATTTGGAAGAAATTAAAAATTTATTCTCAAAGAAATTGTTGTGCGTAATTATTAAGTAACAAAATAATACCTATTACTTTTCATTATAGAAATTTTAAAAACAGAAATTAAAAAGAAAAGGAGAAAATTCTGAATATCTGATATGGAAATGGAAAAAACAAAAATTTACCGGTTCAAAGCGAACACTTTTTAGTTTTACTAGTAGGGAAAACAGAAAAATATTATACCATC